GGCTGGAGAAAACTCCTCGAGCTGCGTCAATTCGAGAGACAATGTCATCCTTACGCTGTCTATTCGGCAGCAACCTCGCTCCGAGGTATTTGAAACTGTCTACTTCTTCAAGCTGACAGTCACTAATCTCGAGAGGTGCCTTCTCTTGGGCAGGGATACAGGAAGAAAATACTTAAGTCTTTCCAGCGTTAATGGACAAACCGACCGACTTCGCGACATCGTTCACCCGTGACACCATGGACTGGAGATCGCCAAAGCTCAAAGTTAGTAAAGCGATATCATCGGCATAGTCGAGGTCAGTCAACCGGCGCTCGGATACAAGCTCAATACCGTCATTTTCCTGTAGGACCTTCCCGAGAACCTAGTCAATTGCGTAGTTAAAGAGGATTGGCGACAGGACACAGCCTTGTCGAACGCCACCCTATAGCTGTCGAAGATTGCGTTCTGTACCGATAACAAAAAAACTTCCGCCGAAATACCCCCTCTCGCGAAACTCGAGAAAGCAACCTCCCGAGGCGACTTGGTACACACAACATCCTCGTGCGGATGATAGCCAGAAGCATGCTACAATGGGAACTGACTGCGACCTTTCCCGTCTAAAAAAGCTCTAAAGCCATGAAGGCATGCTTTCAACGAAAAAAAGTGTTTGCGGGCGCAGTGACAAAACGAGAGCGCATTCTTTGAATTAGAGAGAACATCACTACGATAGTAAAGCTAAATATCTAAGGAACCGTTTAAGGCCGTACAGATTGAGGTCAACCGACACCTCCACCACTACGACCACATTGTTTAAAAAATAATCAAAATAACCTCTACAAAAGACTTGTTTAATGTTCAACAAAAGTAGCAGCAACCCCTTGACAATAACTCGTATAAAAAGGTGTTTTTGACGAGGGAAATTGGGGAGGGAAAAGGTTGGAACACGAGTTGTCATCGCATATATGTATATTAGCGGAGTTGATCAGGCGCTGCGGCGAAGTGGGCAGAGCAAAATGCTACACCCGGGAAAAGCAAGATTATAACAGGGTCGGACAATGGCGCACATTTAAAACGAAAACGATCGACACAAAAAAGGGGCCTTAAGCAGTAATCCCCTCAACCTCCTCCACATCATCAACAGGTACACTGGCAAAGACCTTTTGAAGGTTGACCGTCGACTTGTCTGAAAGCAGAAAGAGAAAATGCAATGTCATGCGTATGCTGTTGAGCACGCCTAGACAGCCTGACAACCAGCAAGTCTAGACATCAGCAATAGTAATTCAGTAGTCTTAGAAGGTTTAGTGGTAGTTTAAAGCATTGTTTCCCAGGTACGAATTTAAAGCAAGTGCACACAGCAGGATTTATGTGCGCAAACAAATTTCGTGACAGCTTTTCAACTGCTTTCCGTCTTTGCATGAATTAGATAACACATTGAGAACACAACAGTTTAAATTTACACAGAATCAATAACAGGAGGGTCATTTTCAACGCGGCGAATAGTCAGTAATAATATCGTCTTTGACAGAAATCAAAGGTGGATTAGCAAGGTCCGATTTCTCCGTGCTCGCACAAGAACTCGGAAACATGTTTTGAGGTTAACAGAATGACCACTGTCTAGCAGGTGTCTTGTAATGGAGGACCGTGGCACTTTGTTGTCCTGTTTAAAAAGCCAATAAGGTAAATGCTTAGCGGCCCTGGTCGCCAATTGCCTTTGCGTACGCCCAATGTACTTGCATCCGCTAGTGCACGTGAATTCATAGACACAGTTTGTGGTGGCCTGCAAAGGCAAGGCATCCTTTGTCCGGTTAACTGGAAGGCTTCTAGTTCAGCTGTATTGTACTTTCCCTTTACGGCGCAACGTAGCCGTCGCTTAAATGTGTCTGAAATATTGCCCCTTAA